TCTTATACACATCTAGATGTGTATAAGAGACAGGTATGAGGGTGTTGGGGGGCGGTCTGGGGATGTTGGGGGGGTGTATGGAGGTATGGGGGGCGGACATGGGGGTGTTGGGGGGGTGTCTGAGGGTTCTGGATCCAAAAAAAAAAGCATTTTTTTTTTTGGCGGGGTGCCGACGACCCCCGACCGGTAGGTGCGGACCAGCGGACCGGTTGGCTGGTCGGCAGCCGACCAGTCAAGGGGCGCCGACTGTCGGGGTATGCAACACTGCGGTTGAGTGTAGTAGCACAGCAGACATGCAAAAGAAAGAAGAAAAAGGATAGTAGCAGCACAGCAGAGTGTACACATGGTCGTCGGAGTGAACGTGTGGCCAAAAAAAAAAAAAAAAGTTGGACATGTTGGCAATCGCCAATGGGTTTAGGAATGGTAGATCAGATAGAGAGACACTCTGAGAGAGAGAGAGAGAGAGAGAGAGAGAGAGAGAGAGAGAGAGAGAGAGAGAGAGAGAGAGAGAGGAGGTCAGGGGATTGTGCGAGGTTTTTCCTTTACTAAAATCTTGTTGTTGAATACATTGTTCTTTTCAAACAGCGTCGTCGGTTGCCTTTCGATCCAGAGGAAGAGCCACTGTTTCAACGGCAGTCGAGCAGCTGCTCGCAGAATGAAGCGTGGCTTAAGGTACAAGAAGCAAGCCGGCAGTCTATCATAATCAGCGAGATCTTGGACGCTAGAACAAAGAATCTTGTGACGGTATCAAAAATCAGCGACTATGTGCTCAGCAACGAGTTGATCAGCATGGCCTTAGCTATGGTAGCAGAGGACAGACAAATTAACAACGTCCTTGCTGAGCTCTTCGACTCTGATGTGAGTAATACCCACCACCATACCATCTCTCTCTCTCTCTCTCTCTCTCTCTCTCTCTCTCTCTCTCTCTCTCTCACACACACACACACACACACACACACACACACACACACACACACACACTGTGTTTATGTTTGTTTCTCTGTATGCCTGTCTGTTAGTCGGTCCTTTCCTCCGTCTGTCCGTTGTCCGTCGGTCAGTCTGTTGGTTGGGCGTCAGTCGATCAGTCAGTCGCTCCATCGGTCAGTTAGTCCGTTGCACCGTCGGTCTGTCGGCCGGTCTGTCAGTCGGTTCGTCGGTCAGTTGATCGATCGGTCCATTCGTCCATTGGTCCTTTGGTCTGTCGCTCTGTCCGCTCGTCTCTCCCTCCCTCCCTCCCTCCCTCTCTCTCTCTCTCTCTCTCTCTCTCTCTCTCTCTCTCTCTCTCTCTCTCTCTCTCTCTCTCTCTCTCTC